CAAATGTACTCGCTTAAGTGATCCTCTTGCCTCAGCCTCCCAAGTAGCTGGGACCACAGACACCTGCCACAATGCCTGGCTATTTTTGGTTATAGTTGATGTTGTTTGGTGGGCTGGATTGTTCACTGCCAGCTCCAGTGCATGTGGCTGGTGCCCTAGCTGCTTGAGCTACAGGCGCCAAACCACCAAATGTACTTGTTAATAACAGAGACAACACAACCAACTTATTTAGCTGTTGTGGTTCTAAATTCCGTGTTCACATTAATTGGGGCTGGGAATGCTTACCCCAGCAAGAGGACCTCATTGGTGGGTGACTGCAGGGAAAGGACCTTCCCCTCACTGGCGGGTGACTGCAGAAAGTAGGAGGCAGCTGTGTTCACAAGGGACTCAGCAACCTTGCTCCCTGCCATGCCTGGCCTCCTAGGCCAGACCTCCAACTTGCTTGCCACAGGACCAAGTAGGATGTGCGCTTGGGTGTCTGACCAGCTTTCAGCAATTTATCTGCCAAGAGAATCTCTTTTTTTTTTTTGAGACAGTCTCACTATGTCACCCTTGGCAGAGTGCCGTGGCATCACAGCAACCTCAAACTCTTGGGCTTAAGTAATTGTCTTGCCTCAGCCTCCCAAGTAGCTAGGTCTACAGGTGCCTGCCACAATGTCCAGCTATTTTTTCGGTTGCAGTCATCATTGCTATTTAGCAGGCCTGGGCAGGGCTGGTGCCCTACTCACTGAAGCTATGGGTGCGGAGCCCCAGCAGAACCTCTTTCTGCTACCCCTTTGCCCCTGTGCACCGAAGGTTCTGGAGTTTTCATTTTTCCTGAACCCTTAGCTATAGGGAACTGTGTGTGCTAGCTATCACCTTGGGAGCTTGCTGCCTGCCTTCCATTCTTGGGATTCAATGAGATGTTGTGAGACACTGACTACAGACTCATAGGAAGATACTTTGTGTAATCACATCTGCTATAATAGAGAGGTTTAAAACTTGTGTGCACACAGACACATACATGTTCACACACACCATTTCGCTTCCACAAATTTCGAGCAGAATATTAAACGTTGAGTACTGAGTTTTTAATTGTAAACTTGAAGATCTCATCCTTAACTTTACATATACATAGATAACAAGGTGGTCAAAATAACCACTTCAATATCGAGACAAATGTTAAGTTCTGAGGTTCTTTTTCCAATTGCTCTACATATAAAATGCCTTAGATAAAGCAAAGAAAAGCTTCAATAAATAGGCAGAGACAAACATGATGTACAATGTGATTGAGTGAATATGGGTCTGGAGAGGTTGGACACTGTGGGGTGCAAGCTGGCAGGAGTAGATTGTAGAGATACAGGGGTGCCATCTCAGTGGTGGAGGGGAGGACCTGGGGGCTCCTTTGAAGTGGAGCAAGCAAAGGACATGGCTCAGGAGGAAGACCTTATGGGGACAGCTTGTCATTCAGGGCCACACACTCTTCTATTGCCCTCAAGGGTCTGGGAGCGTTGGCTGAGGGGACAGGGCCTCAGGGCAGCATAGGGTGGGGGCTGGCTCTCCTTGGTGACCTACATGACAGGCAGTGGCTCAGTGAGAATGGGGCCTGTTGGTGGCCTGCTTGTGGCAAAAGCATGCCCAGGCTTCAGAGCCCTGAGCAAACCTAACATCCTTCAGTGACAGGCACCAACACTCTGAGAAGTAGCCTTTACAGTGCCAGGGTAACAAGGCATGAGACAACCATCTACCTTGCCTAAAGAGACCCCCCATCACCCCCCTGCAGTATGGAGATATTCCCAGGCTCCAGAAGCTGGAGAAGGTGATGTCTTGATCGCTGATACTAGCTGCCACCATTCCCAACATCACTGTCACCTCTGATTATCCAAGAGCATAAAACCAAGCACTGCTGTATGGGCCCAGCAGAGGCTCCCCGGGGCCTGGCTTAAGGAAATAGGTTTCAACACTGTCCACCCAGAGTCCTGGCAGGAGAGGTAGGGAGGTGTCTTCCTCTCTTCTGAGAGGAAAGTCGGAGACCAGGTGCATGAGATGCTGCCCAGAGCTACCAGGAAAAAGGCCCCTTTGCTCTAGGTCTGAGGGAAGCCTGATGCCCTATACCCAAGTGAGGAGATGATCTTAAACTTGGGTAAGATGTCCTTCTCTTACTGCTGCCTGCCCTCAGCAGCCACATGATGGGGGAAGGTGGCTGGCAGAAACAATTGGTCTCAGCTCCCAGCTCTATGAAACCCACATCCCCCCATACCGGTATCTATCCCCAAGGGCCCCTGACCAGAAGTTCTGGTACTGGAGAGAAAGGCAAGCTGGGAAAAGTGTTGGGATGTCAGCTTTGTCCCACATGTGGGCCATCACTTCTTTTTTCTAATTTGGGCCAGAAACTGGTGTTTCTTTATACTCTGGAAACTGCTTTGAGCAGAGGAAACATGCTGGCCCTTGCCTTGCATCAAGGCCCAGGTGATGGAGGGTCAGGGAATGATGGACTTGAGGTATGGCCCACCTGGCACACAGGATCAGGGCCTATACCCTGGACAAGCGCCCTGGCAGGTGTGACTCAGACATGGAAGTGGACTGACAGGTGAAGTCCACTTCAAAGGATGGCTCTGGAGAGTCAGCTCCAATGTTCCACCTGTAGGTCTCTGCACCAGGGGTCTTGGCACAAGGTGGGAATGGCCAGCTGTACCCTCTTTGGAGGGCAGGAACTCGGTTCACACACTCCCTAGGACTCGGAAGTTCTAGAGACAGGTGGGAAGGAAGCACACTTCTGGGGAAAGCTCAAGGCTCAGGTGTCATCTGGGTAGAAGTTGGAGACACGTAGGGCCTTGAGGTGCTGGGTAGCCCTTGAGCCTTATAGGAGACTGGCAAGGCTGGTGTTTGGTCCATTCTGAGCTTGAAACTGCACTGGGGGTGGGCCGTCTGTCCACTGCAGGAAGGAGAGGATACACACAATGAGGTGCCACCAGTTATGCTCAAGGAGAGCGAGCCTGGAATGCTGTTCTCCTTGGGGTAGTTGCCCACAGGGCCCCTGTGTCCTGCACACCTGAGTCCGACAGGCTCCCAGAAGGTACCCTGCATCACCTGCTTGGATGAGGGTATCAGTGGCTGTTTCCCACAAAAGAGGGAGTTCCTGAGGCTGGATTAGGGTTTGTTGGACAGAGAAATAAAGCCACGTGTACCCTTCCCCTCCAGGTGGGGGAGGCTACACCCACAGGCTCCCCCATCATGTCCCCTGCCCATACCGTGATGAGGTTGTGTTCGGGAAGGCTGCAGGCCTCGATGTGGTCTTGGAGCAGCTGCTGCGAGAAGTTCTGGTGCATCTGGGCAGCTTCGTGGGCATCCATGGCGTTTCCACAGGCCTTATTCAGGTCTGAGAGCAAGACAGTATCCCAGGGACATGTCTTGCCCTGCCACTGCCTACACCCACTAATTGGGTGCAGATGGAGCCCTAAGGTCAACCTCCGGCTCCACCAGTGTATCTCTGGGTGCCTGGCACATCATCTGCTCTGAGCTCTGTGCTGGGGTGGTAAAGCTCATGTGCCAGCCACTCTCACAGGGCAGCATCAGAAGGCCCAATGCTGGGCTCCTCACCAGCCCTCACCCAGGGAGCCCCCAGCCAGCCCCTGGGTGCACAGGAGTTTGTTGGGGGCAGGGTTCCCAATGCCCATTCCTGAGGAAGGAGCCAACCCACTCCCCCACCTCTCTCTTCCCAGAGTGCTGGGGAAGTCTCTGGACCTGTTTCCTAGTCTGAAAATAAGAGCTATGATATCTACACTGACTGATGCCTGCCCTATACCCAGAGCACCCTGACTGGTCTTATCCCATAGGATGACCACTGTCTGCCTTTGTGGGAAGAAATCAAGACTGAGAGAATGAAGGCTCACAGCTTAAGGCTACCCAAATGTTAAACCAGCCTCTGGGTCCTGTACGGACTGAACCAGACCTTGTAGATGGCATGAATGGGTCCAGTGCCCACTCAAACAGGGCCTCCTGGAGGAGTACCCTCTATCCATACTAGAACCAGGGCTATGGTCCACTGAGGCCTAGTCTTAGCTGAGGTTAAGCAGGTTGACCTCCAGGGTCAAGGAGGAACGGGAGCTGTAACACTCACCTCTCAGCAGAGCTGATGACCACAGCTGCACTGACATGTCTGGAATCTTGCTGGCCAGTTGCATGGCAGGCACCACCATGTTGTTACTCTCCTGTCAACCAAGGAGACAGAAGGTCTGGTGTTTTCTACACACCAGTTAGTTGGCTCTTTTTTTTAGAGACAGAGTCTTACTATGTCACCCTCAGTAGAGTGCTGTGGCATCACAGCTCACAGCAACCCCCAACTTTGGGGCTTATGTGATTCTCTTGCCCTAGCTTCCCAAGTAGCTAGGACTACAGGTGCCTTCCACAATGACCAGCTATTTTCTCACGTAGTTATCATTGTTGCTTAGCTGGCCTGAGCTGCGTTCAAACCCGCCAACCCCAGTGCATGTGGCTGGCACTGTAACCACTGTGCTACAGGCGCTGAGCCACACCAGTTGGCTCTTGTGGGAGGCTACTGCAGACACATGGGGAACTGGCGGTGTCAGGACACATGAATCTTCCATTCCTGATTCTCCACGACATGACTGCATAGTGCTGCCATCACCACTCCTTCCCCCTCGCCCCGAAATCCCAGTGTCTTCAGCATGTGTATGGCTGGAGGAGCGTAGTGCATAGCCATCAGGGGTTGTAAAAACACTTGTCCCTGTCTCCACAGTGAGGGCTTAGAGGCAGTGGACAGGAGTTTGTGCTGTATAGCCTATAAGGTGACTGTCAGTGCTGTTCTGACCCTGCATGTGCCAAAGACTGAGTGCCCCACCAGACTGGATGTCAGGTTCAGGGTGAGGCTAGGAGAATTCCCTTTGTGGTGGCTCTCAACTGGGGAACACTTGTCATATTGCTGACATAAAAATTCTCACAATCAACTCCTAAAAGCTAGCTTCAGCACAACCATTTATTTTTATTTATTTATTTTTTTTTGAGACAGAAGCCTCCAGTTGTCCCCCCTGGGTAGAGTGCCGTTGTATCACAGCTCACAGCAACCTCCAACTCCTGGGCTCAAGCGAGTCTCCTGCCTCAGCCTCCGGAGTAGCTGGGACCACAGGTGCCTGATACACCTGTTTTTTGGTTGCAGCCATCATTGTTGTTTGGCGGGCCTGGGCTGGATTTGTACAGTCACCTTGGGTGTACATGGCTGGCACCTTAGCCACTTGAGCCATAGGCGCCAAGCCACAACCATTTATTTTTATAGACAGGGTCTAATGTTGTCACCTAGGCTCAAGTGCAGTGGTGCCATCATAGCTCACTGCAGCCTCAAACTCCTGGCTTCAAGCAATCCTCCTACCTTGGGCTCTCAAAATGCTGGGATCACAGGCATGTGCCACCACATCCTGCAGACAGTCTACCTTAGACATGTAAAAAAACATAACAACTTCATACTGCCTCATGGCTGTACCTCGAAGGTGAGCACTAGGGAGGTCTCAGAGCTCTCCTTTCTGAAACCCAGACTTGAGGACTTCTGCCTGAAAGCTCAGGGGAGGAGTTGTCCTCTGTCTGCTTTCCTAGACAGGTTCCCTCAGTATCATCTAGCAGTGACCCATAGAATCTTATTTTTGACCAGGGTCTTGCTCAGTCAACCAGGCTATAGTACAGTGGCACCATCATAGCCAACTGCAGCCTCAAACTTCTGGGCTCAAGCAATCCTCCTGCCTCAGCCTCTAGAGCTGATACTACAGGTACACATCACTATGCCCAGCTAATTTTTCTATTTTTAGTACAGATAGGGTCATGCTCTTGCTCAGACTGGTTCTCAAACTCCTGACCTCAAGTGATCCTCCCAGCTCAGCCTCCTAAATGCTGGGATTACAAGTGTGAGCCACTACACCCAGCCAGAATCTGGTTTTGAAGATGTGGGGAATCCTGAGAGGTGTTCCATGCCCATGCATTCTCTAGCTTACTAGGCCTAGGGCAGGGCATTGCAGGTTCTGCTGGCCTCCTGAGCTTCCTCTGATTCTGTCTTAGCCACCTGGCCCTCTGCTCAGGCACTTATGCTCTGGCCATGGTGGCGGCTGTCTCTGTGTCAGGACACTCCTGGCTGATCTCACTCTGGGTGCACCTCTACCAAACAGATCCTCAAGGCTACTGCCTCACTGGACACCCCTCAGCCTTTTTTTTTTTTTTTTTTTTTTCATATTTACAGAGCCTCAAGCTATTGCCTTGGGTAGAGTGCCATGGCATCATAGCTCAGAACAACCTCCAACTCCTGGGCTCAAGTGATTCTCCTGCCTCCTCCTCCCAAGTAGCTGGAACTACTACAGGCGCCTGTCACAACACCTGGCTATTTTTTGGTTGCAGCCATCGTTGTTTTGGTGGGCCGGGGCTAGATTTGAACCTGCCAGCTCAGGTGTAGTGGCTGGCGACTTGGGGGCTTGAGCCACAGGCGCTAAGGCCCTCAGCCTTTAAAAATGGGAAAACAGGGCGGCACCTGTGGCTCAGTGAGTAGGGTGCTGGCCCCATATACCAAGGGTGGCAGGTTCAAACCTGGCCCTGGCCAAACTGCAACCAAAAAATAGCCAGGTGTTGCAGCGGGCACCTGTAGTTCTAGCTACTCAGAAGGCTGAGGCAAGAGAATAACTTAAGCCCAAGAAATGGAGGTTGCTGTGAGCTGTGTGACGCCATGGCACTCTATCAAGGGCAATAAAGTGAGACTCTGTCTCTCCCAAAAAAAAAAAAAAAAAAGAAAGAAAGAAAGAAAAATATCCTCTTAAAAAAAAAGGCCTGGCTTGGCTATGTCCAGCTGTGTCTCCCCCGCACCTAAAGTCCTTTAAGGCCAGGACCTGAGTCAGAGGACTCTTGGGAACCCCATGTCACTCACATGGGTCCAGCCACACAGAAGGCAGTGGGGGGGGCTCCCAAATAAAGTGTGTAAGATGCCCCCAAATCACCTGTAGAGCTGCTCCACCCTCCCTGCCTCAAGGTGGCTTTCAGGGGCTTCTAGACAAATAAGAACCAATGAGTTCTGGGTTCTAGTCCTGTGTGTACAATCTGGGGCTATGTGACCTAAATATGGGGACAGGAGGTGGCAGCTCAAACTTGGCAAGGCCACAGCTGATAAGCTTTTTGACACACACCCAGGCTACTTGTACTGCCCAGTAGGGACACACTGCCTTCAATATGTTTAGAAGCTGAGGGGCAGAGTGACAGGATGTTCTAGGAGTGTAGTCACACTTAGAAGGACAAGTTTAACAATCTAGACCTTGTCCTCTTCTTTCAGAGTGGTGGTATCTCTTAGCAGTCATAGCGACAGGGGTGTGCGAAGCCTGTTAGGAGGGCCTAATGAGAGGGAGTCTTTAGGGCCTGATCAGATGGGAGGGAGGGAGTCTTTATAGGCCTAGACATGAGCCCTGCATTATCTGTCCTGTCGAAATAGCTCAAGTGAGGGCTAAACTACGGAATAGATACTGCTTCAAAAGACTCGCCATGGCCAGGTGCAGTGGCTCACACCTATAATCCTAGTACTCTGGGAGGAAGAGGTGGATGGATCGCTTGAGCTCACAAGTTCGAGACCAGACTGAATAAGAGTGAGACCTTATCTCTACTAAAAATGAAAAACTAGGCGGTGCCTGTGACTCAAAGGAGTAGGGCACTGGCCCCATGCGCTGGGTTCAAACCCAGCCTGGGCCCAAAACTGCAAAACAAAACAAAACAAAACAAATATATATATATGTACATATGTATATATGTATATATGTATGTACATATAAAATGAAAAACTGAGGCAAGAGGATTGCTTGAGCCCAAGAGTTTGAGGTTGCTGTTAGTGATGATGCCACAGTAATCTACCAAGGGCAACAAAGTGAGACTGTCTCAAAAAACTAAAAACAAACAAACAAAAACCACTTGCTGCCATTTAAAAAAAAAGAATCCTGGTACAGGGTTATGGAGAAAAGGCAAGATACGAAATTAGCAGGAAAAAACCTTTGTATGGAAGGGAGCAGGCAGTGGGAAGGGCTCCATGACAAAGGATATGTAGGCTGGACATGGTGGCTGACGCCTGTAATTCCAGCACTTTGGGAGGCCGAGGTGCGCAGATTGCTTCAGCTCACAGGTTCGAAACCAGCCTGAGCTAGACCGAGACCCCATCTCTAAAAATCGCTGGGCACCGTGGCAGGCGCCTGTAGTCCCAGCTACTCAGGAGGCTGAGGCAAGAGAATTTGCTTGAGCCCAAGAGTATGAGGTTGCTGTGAGCTATGACACCAAGGCACTCTAGCAGGGGCTACAAAGTGAGACTCTGGCTCAAAAAAAAAAAAAAAAAAAAAAA